GTGTATGTAGTTGTTATTTTTAATTACAAAATGACTTTTTTATCGTAAATTAAAATTTGCTATAGACACCTTGTATAAAATTTATCTAACTAAATAAAAGTAAACGAAAATGGACAAAAAACCCGTTCTGTGCTTAAAAAATAAAGCCTACACTTATGCTAATTGTATTTAAAAAATTATCAGAATTTTGCAAAATTATAAAAAAGAAGGGCAGAAAATAAATAAATATTCAGATTCAAACTTTTTATATATATTGATGATTGATGATGATGACTAGCTTACGCTATCCCATTTAAAACAAGACTCGAATACGATACATGTTTTCTTTGTTTAAATAATGTGTATATGTCTTTATGCATGTATGTATTGTTTTAAAATTACACATTGCACACTCTTAATTATAAAATGACAATAGCGTACATTTTACAATTTGAATAATTGAAAACAACTAAAGGAAAATTTATTTAAAAAATTAAGCTTTGTATAATATAATTAACTATGAAAGATTGTTATTTATTTAAAAAAACGTTTTCCAAAATTAAAAAAGAAGGATTAAAAAATAAAAAAATTATAAGATTCAAACTTTTATATATATTGATGACTAGCTTACACTATCCCGTTTATTAAACGGGACTTTAAATACAATTTATGCTGTTGATTATTTGTATCTTGCGTCAATTTTTAACGCTTATGTTAAAGTTCAAAATTTGTTGTATAAAAACTGCAGTAACACACCTTTGAAATTGGATTTTTGAATACAACACAAAAAAATATAGGGAATGTTCTGTACGTAAAAAAGTCAAAAAAACAACATTGTTATTGCTTTAAAAACAAAATTTTGCAAAATTTGCTTTAAAGAAGGAATAAAAAATAAATAAATATTCAGATTCAAACTTTTTATATATATTGACTAGCTAACGCCATCCCGTCGAATTGGGATCAAAATGATGTGTATTCTTTCTTTTTGGTGGATATTATGCGTCTTTATGCATATTTTTAGAATTTTAAATTACAAATTGGCCCTTTTTATTATTAATTAAAATTTGTTATATACACCCTGTATAAGATTAGTATAACTAAATATAAGCAAAGGAAAATTGACAGAAACACCGTTCTGTGCTTAGAGAAATAGTCCCTACACTTATGCTATGCGTTCTTAATAAAAAATATGAAGAATTTTACAAATTTTTTAGAAAGAAGGGTTAAAAAATTATAAATGTTCAGATTCAAACTTTTTATATACAGTGGCGTCAAAATTTTAAGACTTAAAAAAAACATTTTTTTCCAATTCAAAATTAAACAAGATACAATTCTAAAATCATAATTCATGTTTAAACATTGTAATTAAAATAATTTAAAAAATACCTTTTATTAAATCTTACTTTATATATGTCTAATCTGGTTTTTGAATTTTTTTATCTTAAGAGGTGCATCAAAATCTTAAGACACTTTCCTCAAAAACGCATTTTATAGAATTGTAAATATTACATTCGTTTTATTTTGTTATAATAAACTACTGCATGATTTTATTTTTTTGATATAAGCTACTACAAAACGCTTAAAAAAAACAATTAGTCTTACAATTAAACGGG